GGTTAATCAAGTCTTTGCTTAGTAGCAAAGAGATAATTCTATAAGCGCGCAATGACATCGGCGTTCAGCTTCGGTTTCTCTGGGGATGACATTGACATTGACGAGAACGACCTGAATGGTGTTGATGAGAGAGATATGAATGCTGTGGAGCATGCCAGCAACCAACTCAATGGAAGATTAATGGAACCTCAGAAACATGATATGGGAGAATGGGTAAGTTATGTGCCACTCTGTTAGATTCCTTCCTAGAAAGTCGGGTAGCTACAGACGGGTCGCGCTCGAAGGCGACGGATGAGACGAAGAGGGAGAGGAATAGAGGACGGCGAAGGATAATTCATGACCGGCGATATATGCTCAATCTAACCTTGTTCTAGATCTCTACATTGCCATCACAAATATCATACAACAAGCTCGTAATAAATGCATCTCATGGAGACGATAGGACGTTCACCCTTGCCCGTCGAGAAGTCTTCGACATTCGGACTCAGCTCATGGCCGAAGACAGCGCTGACCATGAGAATGAGGAACTTATCTCTGGGCTCGAGAAGGGGGATATCAAGCCCAATTTCTACGAAGGTGGCTTTAAGACATGGGAATGTGCGGTGGATCTTGCCAAATTGGTTGCTAGTGAAGATTTGTCCCATCAGGATGCGGACCAGCACATTATTGAGGTCCGTAGTTCGTCAACTTCATCCTACTCCGCGCGAACGGACGCTGACAGGGAAAAGTAGCTCGGTGCTGGAACTGCGGTACCGTCACTGACTCTCTTCGCGCAAGCACTGTGTCGACCGGACTCAGCGACGAACAAGATCCATTTCACATTCGCAGATTACAATTCTGCTGTCCTCCGCCTAGTCACGCTTCCGAATCTGCTTTTGACTTGGAACTACATAGTCACGCATCGGGATCCCCCTTCGAGGGAGGCAGCTTCGTCCGGGGACCAGCCCGATGAAGAAGAACTAGACATCACGCCTGAGCTCCTGGAGAGCTTTCAGAAAGATCTCGCAAACAGGAAGATCACCTTCGAGTTCATCTCTGGTGCCTGGTCCCCCGCCTTTGTTGACCTGGTATTCTCCAGTTACGGACAGGGCAAAGGGAAAACATTGATCCTAGCGAGTGAGACGATATACTCTCCGGCATCTCTGGAGCCCTTCTCTGAGACCTTGATTGCCTTGCTTCGCCGGTCTGAAACTGAACAAGAGCGGAGCAAAGCCCTCATAGCCGCGAAGAAGGTCTATTTTGGTGTGGGAGGTGGAGTAGACGAGTTTCTGATGGTGTTGAAAAATGTCAATGGTAATGACCTGGATGTGGAGGAACAGGTGAATATCAACTCGGAAGGTGTCGGTCGAGTGATATTGAAGATTGCGCTCAGGAGTACATAATCACTGCATTGGGATGAGGCATATATATCAGCATGAACATAAGAACTAGCAGGCAATATCGACCGGCTTTTTTTCATCATAACGGCGGTAAAACGAGACCTGTTAATGAAACGGCAAAAAGAACCGTTGACGGGGCTACCATAGATGAATAAGTAATATGTACAACACGCCCCCCTTGTTATGCCTGCCACCTGACATTGCTCTAAAAAGATCTTGAAGAAAGAGTCAATTCTGTCTAGTCATATAGAGACACAACCTTGCCGTCCTTCATCCGAGCGACGCGGGCCTCTTCCATCTGCTTGTTCTGCTGCTCGTAATGAGCAACAACAGCACTCAGGTCCACGGACGAACCAGCAGGGACATTGTAAGGAGGAGAGGTATTGAAGCTCACTCTAGAAAATGCAGAAATCCATGCGTTAGCTCGTACATTGGGCGAGACATAGGGAGCTCATATAAACGTACTCGGGCTGCTTTAAGTCGAAAGTGGCTCTAGGGCCCTGAGACTGAAGCAGGTGGCGATCCTGAGCGGCCTTCTCCATAAGTGCCGTGTGAATGGCGTTCCTCTCCTCAAACAGCTTCTCCGAAGGAGTCCACTTTTGGATGAGGTTGGAGATCCACGATTGCGAGCCCGATTCCTCAGTGGACTTGCTCAGACGGTAAAGAACGTAGGCGGAGGCGAATGCACCAATGGTAACATAGAAACTGCGCTGTAGAGATAAAAGAGTTTCAGTCAGTGACGAGGACGATTTCTGTCGCGGGGGAGATCGAACGTACGCCGAAGCTCTCGTTCACAGGCTCGGCATGAGCGGCATGAGAGGCAAAGCGACGGGGCTGCTGATTGCGCAGCAGCTGCCGCGCCGAAGCGACTGATTGTCTGGCGAAAGACATGTTGCGGAGAAAGACAATTGGCAATGCCGATTAATGACGATGATGCCGTCGCCGGATGATTTGAGGTTGAAAGCCGCCGAGGGCGGTTCGCCGGACGTCACATGACTCTACCTTCTAAGCTTAGCGCAACCTACGAAGGTCTTCTGTACCTATAACTCGCTGATTCAAACTAGATCTCCAATGTCTACTAGGCAAATACTGGAGAAAGAGGAGTATGCGAATAATATTCATTCGCTATAAGTTTTCTAGCAATTTTTCTCTCAATGGCTGAGGTTACCATGTTAACGCTGGATACCTACTCCGTGCCAATGACGGTTCGAGGAGGGTCCCTCCCGCTGAGCTGTTGGTCCTGAATTACCTCGAAAGAACCATAATAGTAGGCAATCTGTTAGAGTGGAGTCGAAATAGCCTACAGTGTCGCTATCAATGAAGAGACTGGTCACAACGGCGTCAGTGATGTCCATCTTCGTCGCTATCTGGATGGATGTACCACCTGGAAACTGTCAAGTTCAACCATCGCACGAATTGTAGGCATGCAGGCGTGATTGGGAGAAGGCCAATACCTCAGGACATATCCATCGACCCCAACAGTTGGTGCATTGGCCTCTGTGACAAGATGTTTACAATATCCACGCCGCCTCAGACTCGCAGCAGCTCGGTCAGAATCGAGCACTCTTCTGGCCAAGGCTATTTTTTATAGTTTCTCGTCTTCCTCCTCTTGCAGTAGCTTACATGGTATAAATGACTACCTTTGTACATCAACCTGGTCCTTTAGCTCAGTCGGTTAGAGCGTGGTGCTAATAACGCCAAGGTCGCGAGTTCGACCCTCGTAGGGACCATTTTTTGAATTTTTGCTGCATTTTATCCAGTCATCTGCGAGCAAGCGGAATGCATTCAAATATTCTCAATCAAGATCGCATAGCCAGTATTAACCGGGAAGTTTGGCCTCTTCACTTAGTACCGCTGATTGCTCCAGTCTCCTTCTGCTGTTGTTCCTCTCATGAAGCTGGAATCTGATGCCCTAATCTTGGGCCCTAGAACTAAACCTATCTGGCATGAAATGAATGTTATCAACAGACTAGATGATTGTCATCACCACTATCTCCAGAGTACTTGGGCATGAATAATCAGAGGACGCTAGTAACTAAAAGAGAGCAGCTACAACTCATAATTTGTCAAACCCGACTACTGATGAGCCAAGGCTCAAAACGTATTTCTGTCTTCTTCATCGTTCCAATCAACGGTCATGCAAGCCCAGCCACCTCGACCGCCTGGGTATGCTCACAGCTGTCCAGCCAAAAAAAAAAAAAAAAAAAAAAACAGGTTGCTATTTCACACGCACCAACACATGCTGAAGTGAACTACTTTATTCGGGCTATGCTTCGGGGTCGTTCTAGCTCCTACTCCATACACATCAAAAAGGCGGGTCTCTGCGTTGTCACATTCACAATGGCTGCTCTGCAATACACACCGCACTACAGGTGGTACTGCTAAACTAGACTGCTGGACTGTCACTGCTTTGCTTTGAAATGCTAACCGAGTAACTAACTGCCTCACATTTAACTGGCGCTCCCCACTGCTCCCATTGGGCCCATTGTTATTGGGCTCTTCCCTGTTGCCATTAAGAGAGGCTTCAAAACGTCTGGATATCAAAGGGGACATGTCATCGATCTCCATCCCACCAGTTGTCTCTAGCGTGGAAACCCCACATCCTTTTCCCTGCCTCTTGGTCTCTCGAGTACAGGCAGCTACTTGCAGGACACGCATGCCTGCAGTTTCACCATGGGAAAATGAAGCACCCAAGGACAGAATCCAACTTGATCGTGTGTCGCGTGTGGGCTTTGACAATTTGTTTTTTCCCCTCAATCGGTTCAAGTTGCAGCCTTCCGAGTTGCCATTCTAGCTCATGATTGATCCTGCCACCCCGGAAGATGCAGTCTCATCTTGATGCCCAACCCACTTCACTTCACCAAGATCGTTCGGCCGTGCAGGTCGGGAACCGACGGCTTCGGACCCATTCTTTACAATTACCGCTTTAGCACCCAAGACGGGGGTGTTAAGGTCGCCTAACTACCAGCACTATGGTGTGACTCGAAGGACTCATGGATACGGATTAGTATTGGACTAAGGTTCGGTCCGCTTTCTGCCTCAGAGAGGCTGGTGGAGATCCTTCTCGTGTGTAGCAGCGTGTTTTTGCGCTTGGTTCAAGACGAGGGTTATTATCTGGCTTGTTCTGCTCTCTGGATTCTCCCTCATGAATATTTTGTCCCACGCATTTCAGTTGCTCCAAACACAGCGTAGTAGGCGTCAGGCTCGGTTTCCAGAATAGTCTGCTTGCTTGCAGAGCAGACTCCTGACACCGTGTGATCCTGTCTTCGTGTGGCCCAACTATTTGTGCCCACCGCGCGCCTTTACTGCGCCTAGGAATTCATCACTCTTTTCCCCGAATGCATGCTTATTTTTACATCGCTTTCATCATCGCCTGATCGCTGATCACTCGCCTTCCTCCTTCTGATTGATCACTTCTGACCTATAGCTTTCTGTATCCATATCAAGTCAGTGTATATCTTAAGACCCCGTCGAGCGCGCTTGCAAATGTACAGTTCTGAAGCAGCAGCAAACCCAATCGAGTATCTGCTGACACAATTATCGCTACTACATCAGAAATCAACCTACTGGGGACACGTCTTCTTCTACAGTTAGCACTCGGCCACGCCTCACTCTACCACAATGGCAGGGTCGGGCAAGAAGAGCAAAGGCAAACCGGGGGGCAAGCAGAAGAATAAGAAGGGGAGAACCCAAGAAGCGTCTGACAACCCATCTGAGACCCCTTCCGCTGAGCAGCAAGACCAACAGCCGCAGCCGGAGGTCGACAGCGAACCTCCTTTTGATCAAGAAGATCAACAACTACAAGCAGAGGTTGGAGCCGAACCTCAACCTGCTGAAAGTCAAGGACTTGAATCAAACCTTCCTCTACAGTCTCTCCCGGAACCTGCCCCCGAATACGGACAGGCCCCGGAACAAGTTCCAGAACTGGCGCACCCTCAACCTGTTGCAGCGACAGCCTCGGCTGTGACTGAAAATTGGGAAGACCCTCAACCATCGACGAACCTGGGCCAAGAGGATATCTCGAGTCAGCCGCAGACATTGAACGATGTGAGGAACGTTTTTGAAGCGACTCACGAGTCCATTCTGGAGGAATTAGCGGTACCGGACCCTCCGACAGAGACAGAGACTGTTGAGACGAATCCTGAGCGTAACCATGGTCTGAGTGGTCAGAGTGATGCTGCCGACGCCCCAGAGCCGACCCCAGTCACGGCACCTCAGACTCCCATGTTTCCAGAAGCAGCAGCAGCTTGTCCGTTACCATCGCCGTCTCTGACAGAGACTGAGTACGTAGCGGCGTCTTCTCGCTCGAATGCTGCTTCCCCGGCACCCAATCCTTCCTCAGAAGCCGAAGCTGAAGTCGATCTCCCAAATTCTCAACAAGAGCTTACTCCACCTGCGGACCAAGCCATTTCGCGAGCATCGGACCCAGCTTCGTCCTCGCGGCCACTATCTCCTGCACCTGTAGCAGCATCTTCCGAACCGCCGGCGTTCTCGTCTGTTTTCCAGATTGCCTCTCCTGCCTCAGAGGCGGCATCCGCTGCGTTACATAGTGCATCTCCTGTAAATCAACCTGCCTCTCCTACGTTTCATACAGCATCGCCTGCATCAAAGCCATCTTCGCCCATTCCACAGTCTGCATCTTCTCACTATAGAGGCGCCTCGCCCGTCATGGCGAACCCAGCGTCTCCCGCGCAGAGACATGCCTCGAAACCCGCCTCTCCCCATGCAAAGGCCAGCAGTCCGCTTACTCGTCCCTACATGTCTCCAGCGGTTTCGCCACACGCTACGCCGTTCGGACCTCCGCCGCCAGTCCCCAGCGTGCCTCACTCAATCGCTCCTAGCTATGCCACTGCTTATCAATCACCTGCGATGAGTTCTGCTGGTTACATGCCTCATTATGCTCCTTACTATCACCACCCCTCTCCAAATATGCGTCCCACTCCTCGCGGCTCAATAGATCCTCATTATGCGTCGGCCTTTCAAGCCATCCGGGATATGGGGTTGCCAAATGGGCACGGTGTGAATGACAGGGGAACCATTTCACCCCCTCAGGAGCAGCACGACGAGCCTATTGAACTTCTCCAAAGAATTCAAGAGGCTATCCCGGACATCAACCGCCTGCTGGATGGGTACAAGAACACAAAAAGCAAGCTTGCATCTCGGGAGGCTGAATTTAAGCAGATGGAAAGTCAACATGAACAGGCATTGATGCACAAGGATTTCTACATCGAAGCACTGCAGAACCAGATGAGGAAGGCAGCGAACGAGAGTGCGGAGGAAGCAACGAAATTGAAGAACACCATAAACGAACTCAGAATGGAACTAGGCAACCTTGAGGAGAAGAGAAAGGACATTGAGGAAAACCTGGCCGCGGCGGAAAAGTCCAACCAGGAGCTCCTGCAAACGAAGTCTGAACTGGAAGGGCAGATCGCCACTCTGAACACGAACATCAAAGAAGCGCAGGAGGCGCACGAGCAAGAATTGGAACGTCAGAAGGATGAGAGAGTGGAAGCTCTTGCAAATCAGAAGCAAGAGTTGACTGAACTATTTGAGGAAATCAAGGCCGAAGACGAGAAAGCGGCAGCGGAAGCTTTGGCAGCTCGGGAGAAGGAATTACTCGACCAGCAAGAGACGATGAAGGCAGAATACGAGAAGGAGAAACAACAACTACAGCAAAAGCACGACACCCTGCAGGCCGAATTTGACTCTAACGTGACTGAATTGACATCGAGGGAAGCCGAATTGGCCTCCACAAAGGAGGAGCTTGACTCCAAAGTCACGGCATTGGAGTCGACCAAGACCGAGCTTGATGACAAGGTTGCGGAGTTGGAGTCGACTCAGACCGAATTAAACTCCGCAAAGAACGCACTCAATGAGAAGCAGAAGGAGCTGGATCAAAAGGAACAGCAGTGGACTGAAGAACGCACTGAGTTGGAGGCTCGGATTTCCGCCAAGTGTGAAGAGCTGGCCAACTGCGAGCGCGAGAACAAGAAGCTGGAGGAAGATAACTTGCTCAAGGAGCAACAGCTTGAACGTGCAGTTGAGGGGATGCGCACCACAATCGACAATTTGGGCAAGGATTGTGACAGGCTGAGGAAGACACTCCACAGTCTTGGAGAAGCAACTGACCTCAAGAGCACCAAGGGAGACTCATTCTTGTAAGTGACCTAGTGCGTTGAGACTCATCTCATCAGCGCCAGACTGTCTTTCCATCTATTGATTTTTCCTTTCTGTCTATATTCTCTCTTTTCAACTTCATTTCTCTCACTCTTCTTCTTTCTCTTATGGCCAGACTGAAACTCTACGCTCTTTTATGTTTCTTCTTTTCTTCTTTCCTTTGTCGATTTCTTTTCAGCGCATATACTTGTCTCTTGACACTTCCTTTGTCTCTATTGTTTCGTCTATAGAATGATCACGATGAGATGTCGGTAACGCTATAAATGTACCTGTTCTGATAAGAATCTCAAATCTAGTTTGGACTGTTTCGACCAGCTCTCTCGTCTTATCGTTTCCTTGTCCAAGGAGCATTTCACGTACCTCCCGATTGATCCTCCCAAGGACATATTGTCTAAGATTCCTCCGGAGCTCCCATCGTTCCTTGATAATACGCCAGCATCGCGGGAACTGCGTTCGGCATATGTACAGCATGTCATCTCGAAAACTTTGACGTACCGGATCTTCCAGCCGTTCTTGTTCACTCTGGGCAGGCGATACGACAAAGCGGACACTTTCTTCCAGATGCTTTCAATGGACATTCGCCGCAAGTCCGTCAGACGGGAAGCATTCTGGAGACAACAGACACTGAAGGCAGCGTATACCACATCGGATGCGAAACAGTCGATCAACGTCGTGGCTGCGGTGATTGTCGATGAAATCATCGATCTTATCAAACACTTCGCCGACCCACGACATCTCGATTCCCTGCTCATCGGCGTGCGCAAGATCGTCAAACTCGCGGCCGAGACCTGGAGACTCGCTCGTGTGGAACGAGAACTGATAATAGCTAGCCTTCCGGCTCCAGATGCCGAAGGTGTTTCTAATGATAGCTGGGACGAATATGGGGCCCCGAAAGAGGGCAGCGTCAGTTCCATGAACGACCCCAGCCGACATGTCATCCTGCGGACTTTCCCCCAGATTACCCGGGAGGCTGCACACGAGGATTTCGCCGAGGATGAGGAAAAGGCCAGTCCTTGCACGTACTCAAGGGGGACTGTCTTGTACTCTGACTCGCCTGTTGTGATGGCACGTCTTCAGGAACTTGCTAAGAAGTCGACCGAAACACTGGCCAGCGGAGAGGACTCGCCGCGTCGTGGCTCAAGAGGATCACTCCGCTCGGTGGAAGTCACTGCTCACTGATAATTGCTCATCTCAAGATATTTGAGCTGATGCTACGGATAGAGAAATTTGTTTATGTGTCTGATGATCTTTTCTTGGGGTGACTCTAGTTTCTTTTCTTCTTTTTCTGTCTTTATTCTTCTCTTGACCACTATTTCCGTGGTTTACTGGAGCTTAATTCTCCTCGACCTTCCTTGGTTTTAATTCCCTTTGTTCTGACTATCATTCTGTTTCAGTCTCTTCTGACCTTCCTTGTCTCTTGGTTATGGAGAGACTCTGTGCATTTCTATCCCGTCTTTATTCTTGTATTTTGTTTGTTCTTCTTCACTTTTTGACCATTTCGGGTATATCCACCCTCATGTCTTAACTCGACTTTGTAACTATGCTGGTTCCGTGGATTCAGACATGCCTGACGACCTGCGGAGCAGCAGATCCTTCCTTTCTTATAAAGATTTTTATGAGCTTGGTTATTCTTTGTTATGGGAAGATGTACACATGGCTTTTAACGGTGAAGGTTTATTTATACTATTGTCAGAAAAGCTGCCTTGTCTATCACGCTGTATAGGGTTTCAAAATGCATCCAAACTTGTAAATACATATCAGTGTCTCTTCCTTCTGCTCAGATTCCAGGGCTACTCTAAGCGTATCAGCCGAGTAAATCATACTATTGCCCGGGATATAGTAGGAGGTGGTCGTTGTTTCAGCGCTCAGCACCGCCACCCATTGTGATGTCAGAGGCTCAGAGCCGATTAATGGTGGGACATCCAGATAAGAAGGGTCTGATTACTTGTCTCAGAGCATAAAAAGCTTGTTTTGACTTCAAAGGTTGCTTGCGGCTACAGTTGTCTATGAGTAGCTCGATCAAGGGTCTGACTATGGGAGCATTGGCTCGATCGATTGAAAAGGTTCCTGGATGACAATTGATCTCAGAGAAGGCGACTTTGGGGCTTGGTCAGTGTCTACTGCATGTTGAGAAACATTCTTCTTCTTTGATGTTGGTGAAACGAGGCTTAGAGGGGAGAAAGTGATGGCGATGGAGAAATAAGGAGGCACATTCTTGCACAGCCTCAGGCAGGGCTGACTGGCGATAGTATTCATAAGGTACCATAGTACGGAGTACCGGCTGTCTTGTCAAAAATTTGTATTTGATTGGTGGGTAGACAACTGTGGCTGGGGAAGCTGACCGACTAGCTCTTCCTGAGTACTACTACCTACCTTTAGGTTATAAATAGGTAGGTCGGTAGCTACTCCGTACTCTGTTAGGTAGAGTATCAAACCATGAAAAGTAGCTCATGCGGTAGCACTAGTAGTTTCATGGAGCAGTAATATGGGGTCCTGTTTCATGATTATCTTTGTGGTTGATAAACTTCTCTGTCTGCTGTAGGTCATCCTTGTTTGCCTCGGTAGAGCATCAAGCGGTGGAGGAAATAAGGATCTTGCTGACCCATGGGTAGTACGATAGACCCACGAGATTTCCCGCTTGAGCCTTGATCGCAACGGAGAATCGTTCCATGGGTTTAGTGTAGTCTACATACTAGATACACTAGATACACAGAATGAAATATCGATCAGCAAGATGCAGTTCCAGCAGACGAACTGGTTATAGTAGTTAGAGCCTAAGATCACCGGTCACCTTCCTGTTCGTCCCTTCCGGACCGTGCACGTTATTTGGAAAGGAGATAGTTGTACCGGTGTGATACCCCTCCACCACATATATACTCTTGCAAGTATCTGCATACTATAAGCGTCTTGCAAATTATACAACGCAGAAGAATGAATAATCCAACCCTTCCATGATACTCAAAATTGCGCCCAAAATAAATATTCCTTCTCTTCTCTTATCCCGACACTGTATCAGAGGACCTAATCTAAGATATCCACCTATCTCGTAGCTAATAGCCAAACCCCGCTTTGCTCTTACTGGCTGACGACGCGCTGAACGTCTGACCCCAGCGCCATCTGTCTTCCAGTAATGGAGTAAACAGGTATAAAGACCGCCAGGATTAATATGGTTTCGGCTCCTTCGTCGTATCGTCCTAGTCGCTAAATTACGTGATGCGATACAAATGCTAATTATAAATCTCTTAAGTAGGGACCTCTCTACTTTGCCGCAAATACCGTGAGCCAGTCCAGCTGTGGCTCAAGTCGTCCAGCAATTCCCCCTTCTCAGCCGCAACTCGCAAGGCTTTCTTCCTCACCAGGGAAGTGTGGCTACAACAGTGAGTAATAATACTATGCACCAGGGTAATGACCAAGGTAGTTAGTTATAATTATTATTATGTGATCCATCTAGCCTCTGTGTCGCTCTCTTCTTTCTTCCTTGCCTTATTATTCCCTTGTTTTACTTGTAATCCTCTATCTGCTCACCTTACCTTCCAACTGCCCCCTCCACCCCTCTGTTCCCCCCGGCTGAGCTGAGCAGAGCCTCTTTCAGGCACAGAGTGTGACTTAAGTCTCTCTGCCCCCTCTAGCTTCATTCATCTTTCCCTTTCATGACTCCACTCACATCTTCTTCTTCGCCCGACTTTTATTCATTCTTCCCTTTCCCTGATTGTCATCTCTACTGATAGTCCGGTCCTGCTTTGGTTCGACCTGAGCACACTCGCAACTTATCTGACCTAGAGCACTACAATTTTGTCTATTGAAGTGGCTGTTTTGTAATACTCTTACTACTAAATAGAAAGAGCAACTCCTGATCCTCCTCATTTCTTGTTGTATAAGGTACTCTTGACTCTATTACTTCCAGCGTCGTCCTTGCAATGACCATCGAAGTTGACTTTCAATAAACGCAGAGATATGCTTTCCGCAGAGCGTCATCTCTGATCTTGTTGGCTTTATGATCAGCCTCCAAGCGAGCAAGGTCTCTGCAAAGCACATTTTAGCACCGCAATCATGTCGACGCTATCTCCCCAGCTGGTCCGCAGCGAATCCCCGACCGACATGGGGTTTCCAAACGCCAACTTCTCAGATCCCTATCTCTCCGCTCCGTTGGACCCCGAGCAAGATGTTTTCAAATCCTCAGGTATCAGATTGACCCCAGAGCCTGGTCGGCACGACCTCCGTGAGGTCTCGACCTCTCCTTACAATCACAATGTGAACAGCGATTCTGCGCAAGGTGCTGAGACAGCTGGTTACCCGACGTCTTATTCTGATTTTTTGAGTCCCGTCGACGACTTTTCGAGTGACCTGAGTGCCCATGCTTCCCCAAACGGCGATCAACCGCCGGGAAGCATAAATATGGAATTGCACTCATATCTCGATGCATGGCCACATGATGTGAGTTCATCCAACATGGCTGTGCCTGTTGAGTCACCATCCGTGGACTCAGGATCGGCAGCCCTCTCTCAGCCAACCCTGGTCACCTCACAGCTCCTAACTCCGGACCGGACTAACCACCCGAGTCCTGCGTCCGGCTCGACCAATCGACAAAACAATGAATCCCAATCGCAGTCGGGACAGATGCTCACCATAGTCACGGCTCCCTTGGACAACAACCTCAACGTTCATCTCTCCTCTGATGCTACCAGAGCAAGAAGCCCAATTGTTACGGTCGAAAGCTACTCGCGCGGAGATTCCCCAGTCAGGACCACCGTTTCCGTCCGACGGCAGCCGAGCCAGTCTACCACACACCTTTCGCCTGGCGGAGAATCAGAGGATGGGGATCACAATACCTCATGGCAGACGTCTGAACAAGCGATCGCACGTGCGCATGATGGTTCCTGGCTTCCCGATGGCGCCACTGGCCAGGCCGGCGTCGCCCCTACATCACGGGATGACACGTATATCCTCAGTCCCAATGAAGTAGAGTCACGGCGACGGCTTGAAGAGAAGAACGCGGATATTTGGTCATGGTCCGCCACAGTCAGCGTCGCCGGTAGTGAAGATGGAGACGACAGCTCTCATACCCGCGGCCGCAAAGTACCAGCAGGCACACGACGCAGGGCGAGGAGCGCCGGAGACCCTGCGCTACAGCAGGACTACTTCAACCTGCAATTTGGACCCTACGGGCCGGCCATCCCTGGACCCGGTGCGTTAATCCATGAGAGCAGCGACGAGGAGCTCAGTGACAATGATTCCGAGGTCGAAGCAAGCGACTCGGGATCGCCCGCAGCCAGCGTCAACGAAGCGAGGTGGGCTCAAGAAGATCTTGCAGATTCGCCCGATCAGGACCAGCCCAACTCCGCGGACGGAGAGCCGGCACCGCATCAATTTCTGGCAACTCACCCATGGAAGGACCCGGATCACGACTCTACTCCCAGATCAGTTCGGATGCAGCCATCAACCGCCAGCGCCGCTATGATGGAATACCAACGACGCGCTCGAGAAATAGATGCCGTGTCCCGTTATGCAACTTGGGGTACGCGGCCCATGAGTGAAATGGAAGTGAATAGTATTATTGGTGCGGGAGGTTCATTTGCCAATCTGTCTATCAGCCAGGACGCGAGCAAGAAACACACAAGGCGGAGTAGCCTGATGAAGTTCTTGCCACGGAAACCATCGATCAGCGTATTAAAGAGGCCACTGTCAGACCTGTCCCTCGCTGAAAACCAAATTACGAACAATGAGGTCAAAAGTCCGCCCCCGAGAAAGGACAGTTTCCCTCACCGAAAACTCAGCCTTGTGCGAAGCCCAAAGACTCCCAGCCTTAGTACAGGTGGCGCCGTCATTGCAATTGCCGGCCAAATGGCGGCTATTGGAGGCAGAGACTCCCTGAGTACCGTTTCACCACACTCAACGGCTAATCCGTGGAACAAGTTTGGGCGGACACGCAGTCGGAGTGAGATACCGCGGTCTTCTGCACCGGGTCTATTCGACTTGATGACCAGTCACGGAGGTCCGCCTGTTCCCACCATTGGCCACTCACAAACTTTGACGACGGACGATCATGGTCTCCAGCAGGGGCCGTCAAGCCGGCCTGTTGAGACTGGAGATGATGAAGAGGAGAACGATGATACGGCCGAAAAAGGGCAGGTAATGGATTTCCCGGTTCTCACCCGTCTGCCCGTGCCTACAACGGAAGG